TTTTTTTTCTATTATATAAAGGTGCTTCGTTTAACGTTTTTTCTTTCTTTAATTTCTTTTTTCTTCTTCTTCTTCTTCGCTGTCTTTCTTATTCGCTCTTTAGATTTTTCGTTAATATTCTTCAAATAAACTGACATCGTGTACAGTCAAAGTGCCGATGATGGTGAAGAAAGAAAAAAATACAGAGCAAATAACCATTTGACACAGTCATATACTGGTATATAGTATCTCTATGCATAGGAATTTGCAATAAAATAACAATGAATAGCAAAAAGAAACCAATATGTATTGCATGCGCAGGCGAAATATATGTGTGCACCTTCAATCAATTGAGACATAAGATGAAAAAAGGAAAGAATCACATGCATATATATATATATATATATGGGAGGGGATGTTGACACATCTTGTCTTCAATCGGTCTGTCATAAATTAGTTTGTGCGAGTTATAAAGTAACGAAAGACTTCATCATAACAAATGACAGTTTTATGTTTGCGTATGTTTATAGCTCTTTTACAGAAGATCTATCATATAGTATTGTTATTCTGACGAAAACATTGCACTGTACATCTTAAAACAAAACAATGTACACATTTATATACGTATATATATGTATATGTATTATATTTAAGATAGAACAGCAAGGAATGATGAAATGATTCATAGACAAAACGTACGTAAAAGAATAAAAAAAAACGCACGTTCTAATTCGACGTATATGACTACGTAACATCACCGTTACACTTAGCATCTACTACGTTTGTTTGTCTCCTTGTACTCGAGGCTGTTATTGTTGAATCAATCGATTGACGTTTAGGTAATACTTATTAGATTTTTTTTATTCCATTAACAGTACATTTGAATCGAAAGCGTGTCAAATTTATTTTCTACCGTTACTGCCATTGATGTTTTTCAGGTGTCCCTTAAAATATGCATGTTTTTTCGTAAACAGGTATCGAAAATTTCCTTTTCTCAGTTCGTTTTTTTCTTATTCGTCCTTGCATGTTCCACCTTTAAACACATATGCATATGTGAAGTCACCAAATCACATTTGAATATTATGGAACGGCGAATCAGCAGTGTCAGCACGATTAGTAGTCATCGCAGTCAAGGCAGTTCCTATGTATATTTATTTGTTTTTAAATAATTTATTGTTCATTTTTTAAAATAAATTAAAATTTAATATGTTAATTATCAGGTCAGCTTTGACGGTTCAACATCAACACCAATATCCACAGCGATGGATAAAGGATTTTATCGGCAAGTACCATATCGATTTTTTACTAATGATTCCAATACAGATTCTTGTAAATTGGAAAGATTAACGAATTTATTTCCTGATATGAAAGCAACAATTGAATTAGGTATGATTATTTTATTATTGCATAAGAGGAAAAAAAAATATTTTCTTTTTTCTTTTAAAGAATTATTTAAAAGTAATAATTTATCACGTACAATCGATCGTCTTTCACGTATATATAGTGTTTTAACTGCACTTGATACACGTGATGATACATTACATTTATTTCTTGGCCCATATCATCTTTCATTAGGACCAGCATTATTTGCAGCTCTTCATTTTAAAAATGCTTCAGCAGCATTGCTCGTTGCTTCACATCCAACAACCGCCGGCGGTAGTGAAGCTCAACGACGTAAACGACGACGTGAAAATGTTCTTCGTCGATTTCGTCGTGCTGTAAGAAAACTTACTCTCGTTAAATCAATCGTTGATCAACTTCGACCTGCTTCAATACTTACACCATATAATCAATATGAATTACATACACATGGAATTTATGACCTTGTTTTAGCAGGACGTGCACAAACTTCTGATTCAATGTTTACAGATGATGATTTTCTTGATCAACTAGAAAGTATTGATCACTCGACTAATGTAGGAGAACGTAGTCCATTATTAGCTTCTAATTATGTTAAAATAAACAATCTACTTAATTTACTTTCATCACCTCAACAACAACAACAACAACAGCAGCAACATCAACAACAACAACAACATCAATATCACTATCCACAACCATTAGAAGATACTACGACAGCGGCTGGAAAAATCATGCGATTCAAATCAAATGAATCAATTGCAAGTACAACGAATAATAAGGATACTGAATCTTTCTTTCATACTGAATCATCATGTTGTTCACAACATCGTCCACAATCACCTTTTATTATGTATCCTGTTAATCAAACACCTAGCCCTCAACCTAGTCAACTTCTATCAATAAAACCTCGTTCAAGAGCGAACAGTAATTCAAATTTACTTAAGACTCCATCTATTTCAAGACAAAGCACGGTATGTTACATACATAAATAAACATCTGAATATAAGTATATAGGTATAAGTAAAGAACGTAGAAATTTCATCATACAAACATACACAAAAGATACAAACGAATACTTTGAGCCTCATCTATGAGTGATTAAAATTATATTTGTGTCTAGCATACAAATACATATGACATTCATAGATTTTTCTTCTTTTTTTTTCTGTCATACATGTACATTTGAACAGAGATAAATGATACCTTTTGTCAATTAGTTTTTTCTTTCATATATCCCGTTCCGTTGTAATACAATTGCGTAATGTTGGAAAAAAAAGCTTCATCAAACAGGCGATAGTTTTCTTTTTCCGTTCTTTACAATAGATCAATAGTTTGCCTGATTCCGTTACTGGTGACGTTTCCAATTCAGATCAACCATCATCAACGTCAGTGTTTATATCATCACAATCAAATTCTGCCGATATTGATTTAGATACACCCACAAATATTATTGTACCACATCCTTTTCTGTCATCTTCTTTATCTTCAACATCACCGATTACTAATGATGACGATGCACTCATTAATCGAATTTCATCTTTGCTAGCAACACATTTGTTATCTCGTCAATCAACAGTAACAACATCGATAATATCGAATACTGCTCATGAACACGAAACAAATTCAAATTTAAGCGATAGCGCTATATCTCTTTCAACTACTGGTACAACAGGAGCAGTAAATAGTACTGTCATATCCAATCAATCATCACCAACAACAATTGTCGCCAACGAATTTGATAAACTTTTACAACGTATTAAGACAGCGGTCGATAACAGATTATCAATTGAAATTAGTAGTAATAATCGAATGCGTCCACCACAGAACATTTATCATGATTTGTCATATAATCCCACAAGATCACCAACAATTAATCGACGTCAGCAATTGCTTGCATTACATGCTGTATCATGTCAAGAAGGACATACAAATGAATACGATATAGAACATTCAACATTATCCAATACTAAAGAAAAACTAGATCGATTATCCAAATCACAATCATTCGATACGGTCAACTTGAGTAAGTATTATCATAGAAGCTTAACATCTATTACATATAAATTTATAATCTTATACTAATAAGAATATGACTATGCACATCGCTTGAGTATATATATATGTATAAGCCTTTTGTTGACTATATACTTGTATGTTTTAAGCTCAATAAGGGTGTTGGTTGTTATTGCATGAATTAAATGATAGACTAATGATGATAGACAATAAAAAAACAACGTATAGAAAATAACCAACATAATTATTTTACTAATTCATATCTATATCCATTTATTTAGTTGTATCGTCATCAAAAAGTACGTCGAAGTATAAGCCAACAAAACCCGCATCTATCCAATAAATTTTTTTCTTACATAATAATTTCCTCTTTTTTTTATTTTTAATATATATATTCTTTTTTTTGCTCGTACTTTATTCATTCATTCAATCATTCATAAACGTTCTACTAGTCAATTGACAATAGTAACCTTGACTAGTACCAGTATTTGATAAAATCGATAACAGAAAAAGAGTGCAACACATTGTCAATATGAATATATTTATCAATGCGACACCATCGGTTCTCCTTCGATTCGGTTCTCGTTATAAATAAACCTATGTAATCATACAATAACCATAGTACTAATTTCTTCCTCGCCTTTCTTTTCTTTTTTTTTCAAAACTATAGTACAGCAGCAACAGTATTCATACATAGACAGTCAGAAAGAGAGACAAAAGGAGAGAGAGAGAGAGTGTGTGTGTGTGTGTGTATGTATACGAAAGAGAAAGAACAAGGCGTCAAAACGCCTATATAGGCTAATTGCACCATCATATAAGGTAAGAACTCGTTTTATTAGCGATGTATGCATGAGATCAATTTTGATCAATGGATTGAAAAGTTTGATCCATTGATTTTAAATACATTTTACAATTACACAACCATCATCTACTTGACGACAAAAGATGTATGAAGAAGACATATACATATGACATATTCGTCATCAGTCTGTCGATGAAAGGTTTCATCTCATACATATACATACATATATATGTATATATGCGTTTATACATAAAAATAAATAAGTACACCTTCTGAAAATTAATATCATTTGTAAAATAAATAATTCATTTCTTTTTTTTCTTCGTCTTCTTCTTTTTGTTTAATATTATTTCCTCATTGTTCATATTGACCTTGTCTACCGTTTAGGTAGATCATATGTGAATAAGTATCGTGACATGCAAATATATACGTATATATTTCTTTTTTATTCGTAGAATAATCATAAGCTAGTTATTATTTCGAGTTCTGTTTTTTTTTCTCTATATGTCAGCAAACACTTACATTGGCGAGGGTGTACATTAGTCAATGCCTTGTTGCTCCATGACATGCATGTATGTGATCTCTCAGGTAGTGAAAAATCTATGTGCAAAACAAAGAAAAAACGTGAGCATTGTAACACGCACACATCAAGAGCAGGGCGTTATTACATATTACACTGTCATTGATCAACATTTTTCACTTTGTGTCCAACATAAAAAAAAGAAAAGAAAATGAGCGACAGGATAAAAGAATGAATAAAGTGAAGAAAAAAAAATGATTATTTTCTTTATTTATTATAGATAATCGTGATGACACAGTAACAACAACTACCAAAGATAATAGTGACAACAGTTATCAAATGGTAAAAATTTTAACATTTATTTTGTTTTCAAGAGAGATAAATTTGTTTTTCTTTGTAATATAATTATTTAGACGAATTTTCAATCGAATGAAAAAGGTGTTCAAACAGATCCTCGAATTCGACATGCTCGTGCAGTAAATAGAGTTTTCTTATCATTATTAATGAAAAATAATTTGTTATTTTATTCTCTAGCGATTATTAGACACATTACAAGCATATATAACTGCAGTGGCTCGTTATCGTCAACATTTATTAAAACAATATACGCAGTCAAATACTCATTATGATCAACATTATAGTAATATGCCTGAATTACAACAATACGAATATCGTGATTTAATTAATGTACGAAAAGAAATTCTTAATCGTTTCGAATGGGTTATCAATGAACTTGAACAAACTATCGAAAATTTACAAACACGTCGATTATCAGTTGCCGATGCACAAGAACGTATTGACCGACCATTAGTTAAAGAAGTATGTTTTATATAATTATTTTTCTAGTAGAAAACTTATTCGCATATGATTTCATAGAGAATAAAAAAAAATGATTTTAAATATAAAATCAAATAAAAATTTTTTTTCTTTTTCTTCTTCTAATATTTTTTATAATATTAGGTAATCGAATCATCTATCAATGCCGACTTACCACCTGTTGATGAACATCAAATAAGTTTAAATGATCGACAACGATCAATGCCAACTGAAGATGAATGGCGAATGTATGCACGTGACTTACAAGATACGAAAGAAGATTTATATTTTATTGATTCACTTGTTCATCGAGGAATCTCCAAGGTTAATATATTTTTAAATATAATCATTAAAATTTATTTTTATTTAATTTAATTTTAGATTGATCGATTGGTAACATTTACAAATCTCTATACATAATGTATGATCATTGATTGATCTGATTGAATAGAATATTTCTTTTGTTTATTACTATTTTGTACATTTACTTCTTTTAGTCAGTTTAGTTCTTCTTGCCCACATACGGTGATATATTTTTGTTTTTATTTGTGCCTATTCTTGGTTTTATTCTTTTTCTTGTGTGTGCGTGTGTGTGTGTGTATTTGCCTCTATTCACATTTTCATTTCAGGAAAAAAAATATCTTTTACTAACAAATGGAAAAGAATATGTGTATCTTTTATAATAATCGTGACTGATATCAGTTACACATTTTAACACGTACGAATTATGTGCAATAAGAGAGAGAAATATGAAAGGCACTATTGAATAATCTATTCAGACAGATAATATGGGTACTGCAGAATCGAAAGGTGGTCATCGGCATAGATCAAATAAGCATCCTCGTCGTAATAATGAAATAGCAATAACACCTAAATGTCGTCATAAAACGAAAGAATCGGACATATTGAATGTAGGCAATAAAAATTCATTAAGAAGAAAAAATGAAACAATTGGTAGGTATCATTTTCTTTTAGAAAATATTTCAAATATGATATTCTTTTTTTTTAACGATTAGTACCACTTATAACTTCGTCTCCATTGAATCCGAATTTAAACGGTTCAATATTAAATCATTCATTTCCTATACAACGTTCTTTTTCAGAAGTTCAACTACCTTGTTACGAACAATCACATGATGAAAGCATAGAGTAACAAAAAAATCGTTTTATTTATTAATTAATTTTCTTCTTTTCGAATAATAGTAATCTACATCAATTTGATTATGGTTCATTTGAACTACCAAAAGGTGTACATGATTATCGAAAACATATGCAACGTGTTGATGAAGCAAATCGTCCTGTATTAGAAGGACTTTGTCCTGATAAAATGTATGTTTCAACAAATGATCTTCGAATATGCGATACCCAACGTTTACCACCACCATTGCAATGTAAAACTACTCAAGGTTTTTTTCGATCAATTCCTCAACAACAATTTTATAAGAAGAAAAATACTTTAAATGCATCATTTCTTTGATAATTCTTGTTTTTATTTGTTTTAAAATAAAACTAACATTTCAAACGGTTAATTCGTGCTTTTTTTTATTTATTTTTATTCAATTGAGTTATCATTTCATCACGTGTTACTCGTAACGCATGCCATCCTTCTTTTTCGGTAAAATCAATAGCACCTTTAGATTTATAAAAATCTAATGCAACTGTATTCCAATCAAGTACATTGAAATTTAGTCGAGCACAGTTTGTATCAATAGCGATCTATATAGTTCGAATATAAAAGTGAAAAAAAAGGAAATATAGTAGAATTCTACTTGATATGTTGTAGAGAAAAATGCTTTTCCAATGCCTCGTTGACGATAATCTATTTCAACATAGAGATCTTCGAGATGTAAAGATTTTCCTTCCCATGTTGAATAAACATTAAACATTAGACACATTCCAACAACACGTGATGGTGAACATCTTGGATCTAGAAAAAAAACTAAATAATATTAAATATTATTTATTTAAATTACCTTCTGCAACTAAACAACTATATAATGGATGTTCACCAAAACCATCTCGTTTCAGAGCTAATATAAAATAAAAAATATTCTTTATCATATATATATGTATCTTACTTTCACTATTAATTCGAACTTGTTCAGGACTTTTTTCAAATATTGCTAATTCCTAAAATATATTATAAATGAAAAAAAAAGATTTATTAAAAATTTTAAATTAAATTTACATTGATTAATCTCATAATATCATCACAATCTGTCTCAACAGCATTACGAATTATTATCTTTGATTCAAGTACTATCGGTTGTTTTAACATGATTTAGAAAATATAGATAGAATACTTGCTATAGTACTAATAACACCTATGAAAATGTATAGAACAAAACAAAAATCCTTTTGTCTTATTCTATTCGATGGCTAGTAGTTAGATAAAAGATCAAAGATGACGCTAAATGACTTTTAACATGTGATTTTTTATAATATTTCTTAAGAATGATTGATTAATCAGCATAAGACATCTACAATTAAAAATTAAATTTCTTATTTTTTTTTCTTTCAAATATTTCATGTCGCATTTTATTATTTAGTCATTGACATACACAACATTGATCATGATAAGGTGAAAAATATTCATATTCAAATTAAAGTATACGAAAGTCAAATTTTTTTTAACATAAATTACTCTATGATATCTTGATATCAAATATAATTGCTTTTTTAAAATACAAAGAGAACTATCGCAATATTTTATAGTTAAATTTATGTGATAAGAAAATGAACAAAATAAATTTCATTGATTTTCGAGTGGACATTTTTTTCTTTAAGCTAAAATTTCTATCGGTAATATACAACTTTTCTTTTCTTTTTTCGTCTATTCTGTAATCATTGATTGTAAATTACATACAACTTTCGACATTTTTATTTCGTGTCACTATTCATCGATTTGATGTTTTATTTGCACTTATTGAGAAAGGAGAAAAAATAAAAATAAATCTTATATTTAGTTCTTTTTTGAAACTATGACTGTATAAAAAAAAGAAAGAATTAATAATTGCTCTTCGTTTTTATCCTTTAAAATTTATAAAATAAGTTGGTGAATGTATATGAGTTGAAAAGAAAGAGAGAGAGAGAGAAGAAGAAAAAAAAGAAATTTGATATATAAAGTGAAAATAGTAAAGGAGAGAATTTTTTCTATCCGTTCTCGATCTATAAACGATAGAAAGAGTATGTACATGAGTAATATATATAAATGTATGAGTATATACAGAAGAAAAAGAGAGTTATGTATATATGTTGATTCAACTATTTTGCGTCATTATTTGAATATACTATTGTAGATAAATTTACGAATATATTATAATAATTCACCCATTTTTTGGTTAAACGCGATGGCTATTACCAAAAAACAACAAATTCGTGGTACAAGAATATTATTAACGGTTTTTTATGGATTTCTTCTATCAAGTATATTATTTCGTTATATTGTCCATGGAATTGTTGAGACAATTCGACGACCGACAAACCCATATGCTATTACAATGATCGTTCTGGGTACTCTTATTCTCATTTCAATTGGTTTAGCAATTTATGCTACATGGTAAACAATTCAATTTGTTTGTCTTATAAAAATTCTTTTCATTCTAGGTTTGAGAATACAATAATAATGTTAGTTTCAGGTATTGTTCTTATATGTGTATTCGTTTTAACACTTGTTTTTGGTGTTATACGTATTGTTAATATGGCACCTCATCGCGTAATTACAGCAACGCTTTCACCAACTGTAGATGGATCATCAAATTCTATTGGAGAATCAAACAAAATCACAACTACTAAGGATACTTATGCTCTTGCCGAAGATGTTACAGAATTAATTATTGAATTAGTTTTCATTCTCTTTGCTATTCTTGCTACTTTTGTTCTCTATCGTTATGTTAAAGCAAAATATACTCCTGTATCAACAACTGAAACAAAACCAACATAAGATAAACATATATAATAATTGACTTTTCTTTTTTTGCTGAGCTTTTATTAGTGTGTTTTTCTTTTAGTATGATCTCATATAAAAAAATTGACAAGTTTTGCTTTTTTATTTACAATACATTTTGACAATTAATATTTTGTTTTCGATTCTATTGAAAAAAATTTTTATATAAAATAAAATATGATTAAGTTTACTAATGGATTGTATCATTGTATGAAAATGTGTAGTACTCTATTTTGCTAATGTAAATAATAACATTGCAGAAATTCTATGTGAATCAATAAGAGTATATATGACCGTCACTTTTCGTTTTGAGATCATTAAGTACAATACATTCAATGAAAATATACAAAAGTTTCTGTTATTTTTAGTACGAATATTAGCTACTAAATAGTTTTCTCCTTTATAATTACGAAAACAAGACGAATATTATTCTATAATTAATTGAGTATCTCATAGGTTGATAATTATTCTTTTTAAATATGCATAACATAATGTATATTATAGATTTAATTTTGATAATTACTTTATATTTATATTCATGAAACAACCTAATTGAAAAATATTATATCGATTTATATGACTACTAAGAAAGACCATTCGAAGCATTATTTTGTTTTTCTCTTAGAAATCAAGGTATAGTCACAATTCAACGATTAGGTACATTGATATTTGTAATAATAGTTGTACACATATAATATAAAGACTCAATGATAGATTATCGAGCAACAACAATAATTCTATTCGTGATGAATATTTTTAGAGTGACAAAAAAATGCGCTTATCTAAATGGAATGGAATGTCGCATTGTCAGTGCTATTATGTCTCTATTGCTATTTTTTTGTAATATTCTCTCTATGGAATGCTCTGTATTCCTTCTTAATGTCGCTTTTACTGCTTTCTATAGTCATAGATCACAATTATTCATACAAAATCTATATGATCAAGGAAAATCATTTTAATCATAATATTTTTTCAAAAAAGAAAATTTTCATTTCTAATATGATAAAAATCTATTATTAATGAAACACTCGTGCCTAAATAAACGAAAATCAATGAATCGTTATCAAAACTAGCCAAAAAAAAGAAAGACCTTTGTTTTGGCTTCTTTCTCTCTCTCTATCTCCAATAATCTTTTTATTATTCATTTCGTCCCAACTAAACAAATTTATTTATGTTTAGACGTATATATATATATATGTATATATCAAAAAAGAAAAACAACGGCTGTAATACACACAGTTAAACGAAAAAAACAAAACGAAGCATAAAGAGAACTGAGTAGAAAAAAAGAACAAAGACACGGTCGTAGTTTGTCAATTTTAAACGAACAATATCGGGAAAAAAAATACCAAACAAAAGTTGAACAAAAAAAAAGCAAAAAAAAAGAAAAACCGAGCAAAAGAAAGAATAAACAAAATCTGTTAATATTTTTTGTTTTCTTTTTTTTTTAATAATAATAATAATCTGTAATCTATCTACACTTATATGTATATATATAAAACAAGAAGAAGAAGAAGAAAAAAACTAAACGAATGAACAAATAGAGATGTGACGATATTTATTATCTTTCTTTCTTTTTTTTTATTTTATATCGTAAACAAAATAGAATAATATGCAAAGTATGACTTCGTTTCTTTTTCTGCAAATAGTTTAAATCATATTTGTTGTTGAATCATTCTCTTTAAATCTTAATAAAAAGAAAAATAGAATTGAAATAAATCAATAACATTAATACATACGTGCAAATTGAACAGAACATGCATGTAAACTATCACGTGCTAAATCAAGTTGTTTTTGTAATAAAATAGATGTTGTTTGTAAATGTTGATTAAGAAAATTCATTTCATTACCCATCATTTGTAATACTTTTGAAAGCTAAGAAGAAAAAAAAACAAATTTGACATAAAAAAAACATTAGATTTATTTTTACTTACATCATCCGAACTTTCATCAATATTTTGTAAAGTAACAGCTTGTTGTAATTGTTGCTGCTGTTGTTGTTGTTGTTGTTGCTGAGGGAAGATCCCAGATGCTGCAGTTTTTATAATAGTTTGATTTGATTGTAGTTGTTGTTGTTGTTGGTCTTGTTTATTTCGATTTTTTTTACTTGATTTATTTGATGATGATTGTATTGTTTGAGATAATTTTGTACCATCAATCATACCTATTCGAGATTTTTTATGTGGTGATAATATTTCATTTGTTGTATGTTCTAAATGTTCATCTAAACTACGTTCACGTTTTATTGATGATGTATAATGAGCAATAGAATTTGTTAATTGTTGATTAAGTAAAATATTTTCTGGTATTGTTACAGAAAATTGTTGATTTGGTAAAGTATTTGGATCATGTTCATGTTTAAAAAGTAAATTTTCTATTTCATTTGTATTTGTATGTTGTGATGATGATAGACCATTAACAACAAGTGTTGATGATAATGATGGATGTGATGTTTTTAAAAGTGTTGTAGTTGTTGTTGAAGGCGACGAATGATTTGCGGATTCAGCCATACGACGTTTTTCAAGACGTGCCATACGTAATAATGGTTTTCGATCAACTGGTGATGCTATCCGATGCGTTTTTCGTAGATGATCACTTAGATTAACTACCCATGTTTCGCAATTTGGACACCTGGAAGAGAAAAAAAAAAGTTTATTTTAGAAAAATAAATATTGATTTTTTTTTTGTAACCTTAAACGAGTTTCATAATCATTCGTATGTGTTTGATGATTTGGATTTGAATTTCCATCATCATTTGATGATGATGATTGATGTTGTTGTTGTTGTTGTAGTTGTTGTTGTTGTTGATTTGATAGTGATGAATTTAATTGAGATTGAGAGGATGATGGAAGAGATTGTTGTTGTTGGTGTTGTTGTTCTAAAATTTGTTGTTCATCCATTTGATTATTTGGATGAAATGTAAATGTTGTCGGTAATGATGTTGCCAATGGAATATCAGGTAAGATTGATTGAGAAAAATGTACCATTTTTTTTTTTTATATTTTTAATAATATTAAATATCCATGTATATCTGAAATTTAGGAAAAAAATTAATTAATAAAAAAATTATTATTTACAACGAATAATTCCATCAGACTCATTACATCAGATGTGAATCATTACAAAAAATATGTTCAACATCAAAAAAAAAATTTTCCATCATCGGAATATTATCGTTGTAAATAGGAAGGAAAGAAAAATAAAGATTTTGATATTTTATTATTAATAAAAACAGGTTTCTTTTTTTTTATCAATGAATGTTTGAGAAATTAATTAAATTTTTTTGCTTGAATAGACAAATAAAAATGTACAGAAATATTTTTAGCGAATAGCTAACGTCGTTCGACAAATCACTGCCACTCAGTGAAAAAATAGAAATCTTTTTTTCTCTCTATATCTGCCATTAATATATACCTCTTCAGTAAAGAGAAAGCACTTTTTCTTTTGTTTTATCTATTTTAATTCTATATATGAAAAAGTTTTTATTTTAGTCATGGAATTCGAAGAAAATGAGAAATAATATCATGAAGTCTTTATTAATATAGATGTCGCTATTTGACTGTTGGTTTATAAATATATATATATATATCACATGCATTGAAAGCATGTTCTTCCGGTATGTCAACAACAGATTACCATCGTTATAAAACCCTCGTATCTATAGTGTTTCATATAATAAATTATCTAATATATCTTGTAAATTCATGTTTTACAGATTAGTTTTATTATGATGAGATAGCTGTATTTTTAATTGTAAAGTCATTATTTAATGCATCATATATGATAGTATCAATGATTAATACTCTATCATCATGACATATCGAATTATGGATTATAAACATCTTTATTCTATAATCAATATGTGTAACATTTATATAATCGTCAGACAATTCTATTATTATAAAATTTTACATTTTCATAACAATTGATGAGTTATATATTGAAAGGATTCTCTTTTTCACAAATAATTCTTATGTCATGATGTCATTCATTCAATTACTATTTACAATCATTATATCTATAGACTAATCTATATTTTATAAAGACAAGATATTTCAATTTTGAAAACATTCATTTGTTTCATATTTTTATTTACACACACATACAAACATATTGGAAAAAGTCCAATAATTTCGTAGTATTTTTTTGTATATAGGGGAAGAAAAGGGTTTCAATTAAGAGAACGAAAAAAAACAGTGTACAAAAAAAAAAAAGATCACTCATTAGAAGAAAATTATGACACATAATGAAATCATTTTTAATTAAAATAAAATCCTCGTTCTTTACATGCAGTCATGAGACGAACTTTGAGAATGTCTTCATTTGAATAATCAGGTAATTTGAGATAATGATAACATGTATTTACTGATGGATAGGAATTATCATCAGCTTCAACTTTACGTGCAACAGCTAAACGAGGTCGAAGATTAGCAAGACCTAAAGAAATATTTCTATTTATATATTTTCAAATAAAAAATTTTCTACCTCCAGGTGGTAACGATGAACAACCGGTAATAAATTGAACAACAGATTTTCTTTCAACACCATCAAGTTCCATCATAACATTAAGAAATTTTATAAAACCAGGACTAAGAAAATAGAATTTTTATTTAAAAGAAAAAAACAAATCAATATTCAAACCTTTCTCGTGTAAAACCATGACTTGGTTCAATATAATTAAGTAAATCATCAAGTGTCCATGATGGCCATTGATTTCCACATAGAAGAAGTTTTAATTCATGTGGATTAAAACATCTTAAATGTTCAATGGAAAATACTTGATTAAAACCATCTAAAAGAAAATTATTTTCAAAATATACATATAGAACTCGAAATATATATATCTTACCTCGAAAAGCATCCATTTGACGTCGAATACCATCACGAAATATTAAGTCAAGAGATAATTTTACATATTGATCAACATTATCGATAGTAACATCCTAAAATAAGTAAAAATCAAAACTAGACTCATTTATATAATTAGTAATCTTGGTCTTACAATATGTGATCCATTTGGTATTAATTCAATTGATTGATAATCATAAGTATTCGATGGAGGCGAAAAAACAAAAGTCAAGCTAAAAATAAAAATAAAAATAACAGAATTATGATTGATTAGATCCCAACGCAAGTTTCGGATTGACATTTACTGCTGAGATTACATACCAATTAGTACTCAGCCCATTATACAGGATTTATCTATCCAGCGCTATCGCGAACATTTTAGGTTTGAGGAGGGGAGAGGATCACGACAGCCCTGAATCTCTTAAATGCATGTATTCCTCATACTTTCATTGCCGTTTATGTATCCTACACTTATCTCTGATTATATGAAATGAAACTTTAGTTGTACCAAATCTTCTCATAAACTCACATCAATTCAGCAGTCATTAGTTTAATTAGAAGTAATATTCTGTCTAACGGAGTCATTTTTTTCTCCTTATTGTTAAATCATCAAACTATGCTTGTCGAATTCTAACAGAAAATAAAAATAACAAACCATAAATGTTCAAGATCGACTGGTTCATGATGATCATTTTCAATTTTTAATTGTGAACATAAAACTCTTTTTTCTTCATTTGTTTTATTAATATCATTCATTATTTTATTCTTCTTTTCAATTAATTCATAAAGTTTTTGAAAAAATTTTCCACGTGATGGTTCAATATCAATAAGATCATTAATATCTAATATACCATCATACCATATATCTGAATTCATATTATATTTTGATTTCATACATAAAAGTTTAAGAAATGATATTGATAATGGCATATCAATTAAATATTTATCCAATAAACATTTAGCAAAATAAATTCCCATTAATGAAAAATAATTACAAATTATCTCTAATTTATCATATGTTTGATCATATGGAATAGGAAAAAGACCTTCTAATTTTCTAACATAAACTATTTGTTGATGTTCATAATCATCATGATTCCACCATAAACCAAGAGAATAATGTTGTAATTCATTAGCAATTAATGCATAAAATTCTAATGTTGGTCCATCACCCGTACCTTCTTCATTTAAAAATTGTATTTCTAATTTTGCTTTTGATTTCGCATGATAATGAAATAAATTCATTGCATCACGTAATACATATTCACGATCAATCGGTGTTGCACGATCAATTTTTAAACGACCTAAACGAAATTCTGGTACAAACATATTTGATGTTGATGAAGAATTTTCATTTGGATTCGATGTAACACGAAATGATGAAAATGTTGTTGTTGATGTTGTTGTTGAACCACCTAATGGACGTAATAACCCGCCAGTACGTGCTGTACGTATTAATTCATCACGACGTTCTTGTAACCATACAATTGAACGTGATGTACCAAAACTTGTTGTACGAAAATATAATTGACGTGTTTCACATGGATATAAAAATTTATATGAATGTGTTAACCATTCTGTCCATGTGGGTAAACTTGATGATGCAATTATAATTGAATCTTGTATTTGTTGTAATAATTTATTATTTAATTTTTTTGAATAAAAATAATTTTCAAATGAAATTATATCATCAGAATGATATGGATGAGGATTTATTTGTATATAGGTATTTATTAAATAATATAATTGACGAAGTAATTGAAGTATATCTTCAATTGTACAGATATCTTTTGGATCAATAGAAGAATAGGATTGAGAAATATTTTCATTTATTGTATCAAGATCAATTGGATATGATGTTGATGATTGAATTGTCTAGAGAAAAGATAATTTGAAATATATATTCTTTTTATTAAGTATGAGAAACTTACATTTGACTGTTCATTTGATTTTTCAGTATAAACAATACTAAACGAAAAAAAAATTGTTTTAATGGGAAAAAAGATTTATTGTTATACGAACGTATATGTTGATTCAAAAATTCGTTTAATACGTTCAGATTTTTGTGATGATGGAAATGGTTTAATTAATTGTTGAATATATTTAAAAATTGTTGCATCATTATCATCCATTTCAATATCAATTTCTTTTAACTAAATCAAGCATTAAATTAATAAAACTAGATATAATTTAATTGAAATACGAACTCCGGAGATTTGTGGTGATGGACCACGAATATATAATGTCATATTAGTAGCAGCTAATGTATCTGCAGTTGAAATTTGATTAGGTAAAGTAGCTAAAATATAAATTAGATTTGCAAAATCTTATTAAATATTATCTTACCTTCTTTTGGTGTCATTGTTGTTGGTACTGGAATATCTTGTGTTGCATTAACATTTGTTCGGCCTGGTCGTCCATCAAATGCCGGAAGTAAAACTATGATAAAAGATAGATTTTTTGTTTCGTTTCATTTAAATTCAACATACCTGAAAATTGTCTTTTTAATACAAAATCATCATCCCAATTTCGACGTGTAACTGATTGTTGTTCTTCATGCATTTGTTCATCATAATCTTCTTCATCCTATTCAGAAATTAAAATATATTATCAATAAAAAAACAAAAATTCGATTCTATATTATTTATTTTAGTCTAAAAACTCTACGAAACTAATTAAATCACCTGTTCAGGAAACATAGGAGAATTCTGTAAAGATTAATTTAATTTTAATCGATCTAACAAAATTCAAACAACTTACTTCATCTTGTTCAGGTTCTTCTTCATCTGCTTCTTCATCTTCATCTTCATCTTCTTCTATATAAAATGAAAAATAAAAATTATAATAAAAATAAAATTTTTGTTTTACCTGTATGATCAGTCGCTGGTTGAAGTTGTTGATTATTTGGTTTAATACGTTTTAATTGACATTGTTCTTCATCATCCATATCTTCATCATCACTTGTTTCATCCGTTTGTTTTTGTTGTTGATCAGATAATGGTATTTCTGATAAACTACGTGATTCATCAATTGGCATTGATTCATCATCAATTATCGTTACACAAGCAACATTTATTGTTGATGGTGTTGTTAAATTTGGAGAACTTTGAGCAGTTGTTAATAGATTTGATAATGAAACATTATCTGAAGTTGTTGTAGAAAGATTTGGTACACTTGCATTCATATCATTTTCCAATCTAGTATTTAAAATCGATTTTTTTTTCTCGAAAATATTTCTAAATATACATACAATATGATACGTTGTTCAGTAGAGTCAGCAGTAGCATTCTTTTTATTGTTTTCTTCAGTGACAGCATACATTGATTCAACTAAAAAGTTTATTTAATTAACATGCGATATTAATTGAAGAATTTCTACCTGATTCTGTAGTACTACTAATCGATTGTCGTGAATGAGTTGTTGTTGTAATTGGTGTTGTTTGTGCAGAGGGAAAGAGTCGTGTTCCACCACCACTATTAGTATTCTCATTTGTTGGATTAGGTAAGACATTTTCATGTTTATCTTTTGTTTCATCTAATAAAAATTAAAATTCGTACAAAGAAAAAATATAAACTAAATTAAAAAATCTAACCTTTTACTCCAAGAAGAGTTTCTTCATTATATTCTCCTAATTCAAGCCAATTACCAGTATTAGATGTATCTGTATGAATTGGTGTTAGAAAATCTTCTGTTGAAGATGAAAGCCAAAGTGATGCACTTGGTTCTTCAATAGTTGGCTCAAGTTGTGTTTGAGCAATAAGTGCATCATATTGTCGTGCTATTCGATCACGAAAACCTTGCATAAGCTATTCAAAAAAATAATTAAATTAATAAACAAAAAAAAAACAAACAAGTTTTACATCAATCGTATGATCTGTAGTTCGAGATGATGAAACAAGACTTTCAGCACTTGATGCTTGTTCAGTTGATGAAACAGAAAATATTGGTTCACCATTACTTATATTTGGTGTCGAAACACTTTTACGTTGTGAAATTAAATTTAATAAATTCTAAAAAAAGATTACGAATTATATTTTTTTTTATAGAATTAAACATTTACAGTATTATCATTTAATGTTGTATCACCAGTTAAACGTGAAAGAGTCTCTTGAATAACTATACGTAATCGTTCTGGATCATCTAATTCAAGAGCTTAAATAAAAACAAAATAATTTCTTGCTGCTTTGTTTTCCTTCTAAATTTATACCTGTTGATAAATCAATCGGAATTGATGAAAGATCAATCATTTGATCAAATAAAATTCGATCAATTGTTGATAAAGTCGTACCATTATTATTTAATGTATTCGTATTTCCAGTTGATGATGGTGTTGCTGCTGCACCAGTTGTACGCATACTTGCTAAACGTCTTAGAATATGTGATTGCATTTTATTTGTACGACTATGAGTTGTAGTTGATGTTGAGTGATGAAAAGGAGGATTTTGTCGAGATGTTGTTGAATGATTTCGATTATCATCACGAATTGATCGACAACGATTTAATTCAGATTCTACAAAAAAAAAGAAAAGGAAATATGAATCATTGATTAAAGTTTTCATCCTACTAGAACGAATATCAATTGCTGAAATAACTTGTCCATAAATTTCAAAACCAGCAATAGAAATAGGATGTCGACCACATTTTTGATGAATACGTATATATCTAAAACCTGTTGAATTTTCATTTAAAGTTGATTTAATATTCCATGTTGCTGTTGATGAATTTGTATCATTAATTAATACAATATCACATGATATAAAATGTATTCCATCTTTTGATAATTGAAATAAAAATGTTTTTGTCCAATGTGGAAAACCACCTGTACTATGTCGTATTGTGAAATGTGTTGGAATAATAAATAAACCTAAATCAATTATAACCCAATTGAAACCATGATTTGCATCAGGATTATTTTCATCATCATCATCTGAACGTGGCGTACGTGAGAGTATTTCTGATAATTGTTGTGATGTACAATTATTATCGGAACATGTAACTAAAAAGAAAATAATTCTAGATATAAATCAAATTTTTTAAAGTAGTTAATTAAATTTCGAAAATCATGATTTCATTAAACTCAATAAATAAAATCCTAGAATTTCGAATTATATAAAATCGATTAAAAAACATGGAATGATGTGTTCATAAACTAAACTACATTTTTATTCAAATGTATACCGGCATATTAAGCAAGAGAGCAGCATCCTAAATTTTATCATTCAAAATGACATTAGAAACTATAGCATTTTGCTCAGCGAATTATATTATATTAAGAAACTACATCTTCTTACGTTAGTACGTATTTAAAATAAGTGTAAATTATCTCAAAAGACCACACCGATATTTTTTTTTCGGAAACGAGCATAGCAAACTGTTTAGCATTATACCATCTTGTTGATCGCAATGCAATGTACTAGTCATTTACGTAAGAACTAGACACAAACCAATGAACTTTTTCCATTCGATTTGAACACGTAATTTCTTTTAAATACCTGAAACAAGTCCAGCTAAATTTGGATTTGTATAATCAGATATTGTTCCAGCATTTGTACCAATCCAATATAAAATTCCATTTTGATCAAAATCGTTTGTATAAATAAATGGTTGTCGATTATCAGATTTTAAACGTTTAACAAATTCTAAATGTCCATGAGGATGATCATACCATTGTTTTGAAACCTATAAAAATTATTTCGTTGTTTAAGACAAAAATGAAAAAATTCTTTACCATTGATGCAAGAAATGTTTTTAATTGTCCAACTGTTGTTAATGGTTCAATTTTTAATGATTTCCCAGTTCGATCAGTAAATAATTGTTGTTGATTTTGATATTGAAGTTGTAAACGAAAACGTTTTGAAAATATTTGTAAACCATAATTTGATGGTGTATCATATAAAAATAATGGTAATTTTTCAATAGATTCTAAAATTGATATTAATTTCCGTATAAGTATATGAAATGCTTGTAGTTGATCATCAGATAGAAAAACTGAACAAAATAATTTTGCTCGTTCATTCGCAAGATTGATTTCATTCGATGTTTGATTAAGTAAACCATGAAAAATCTTTAATAAACTACCGACAAGACCTGATGATGATAATTCATATAATGATAAACTTGCTTTTTCAAGTAGAAAATTTTTTAATTTTTCAAATGATTTCAAATTTAAATCGTTATTTAAATCATCAACAATTGATTTAAGTTCATTTAATATTGAACGTGTATAATTTGTTGGTGTAACATTTTTTAAATATTCATTATAAATAAATAATGCTAATTCTGTTGTACGATGTTTAATTTGTTCTTGTTTTGTTTTACCAACAGGAGCTGATGCTGTTTTAATTAATGAAATATTTGATGATGGATCAATAGGATTCGATAATGATGATGATGAATTTAATGTTTCAATTGTTGACCATGGTATAGTGAATTCATTTGCTAATGGTATTTGAGCATGATACGTATGACGAGTACCACGATTAGATTCGAAAATAAAACCTGGTTGACCATGTTCAAGAATTGTTACCTAGAAATAAAATGATGAATAAATAAATAAATTTTCGTGAATTATTTACTTGTTCTCCTTCGACATTATGAATTCGAAGTTGTGTGGGTCCATTACATTCAAATGTCCAATTTCCAACAGTTATTGTTCTTTCATTATTTATATCTGATGTAAATATCGTTCGTGCAATCATAATCTGTTGTTGTTGTCCATCAGTTGATTTAATATCTTCTTCATTTTTTTCTTGTCCTATACCATCAAGTACTTGTTGTTTTAATCGTTGAAGTTTATCAATAAAATCATGACGATTTTCACTGGTATCTACATTTGTTTCTGGACTTCCTGATGAATACATAGTTGATAAAGAATTATCAGCAAAAAATCTAAACCATCCATTTGAACCCATTGATAATTCAATAGCAATTAAACCATTCCATATATATAAACATTCTCGATTTCTTAATAAATTAAATTCATTCCAAACATAGGGTCGATGACAAAGAATTTCTTTTGCATCAATCGAAAGAATATTGATTGATAATGACGATTGCTGTTGTTGTTGTTCTGAATTAATTATTGTTGATGTTGATGGTGTTATTGGATGTGATAATGCTAATGATGTTATTTTCCATATTAAACCTAAATATTGAAATTGTTCAAGAAATAAATGTTGATCTTTTTCAAATAAATTTTTAATAATTAATAAAACAAGATTTGATGTATCATCATCATCTTCATTTGTATCTAATATTGAATTTAATAATTCAAATAATATTGTTAAAATATTGATTTCTTCTTTCATTAAATATTCACGTATCTGTTCAACTGTTGCATAATGTAATAATTTTGATATTAAACGTAATGTACTACGTTTTATTGTTAATATCATTGTATTTTGATATAATTGACAAAATATTGATAATAAACGTTGTAAATAAATTGGTTGCATTTCAATATCACCTTTGATTTCATTTGTTATTGTTTGATCAAGATTTTTTGTAGATAAATTTGAATTGATTTGTCCTGTTGAATCTTGTCGTCGTACATCTGTCCATTCATGAGCTGATTGAAGAATTTCAACAACTTCTTGATGACCTTCATCTTGTCGTTCACGTGCTTTATCTAAAGCTGTTCGACCATCTTCATCACGTAAATCAACATTACCACCATATTTTAATAATAGACGAACAATTGATGGACGTCCAAAACATGCAGCATAATGTAATGATGATGAACGTTGACCACGATTAACATCAGCACCACGTCGACATAAATATTCAATCATTTCACGTGTACCAAATGCAGCAACCCAATTAAGCATTGTTTGACCAACATTATCAGTATAATTAACATCAATATTACTTTGTTCAATATGATTAATAAAACCTTGTACATCACGTGAACGAATATATTCAATAATTTGTTGTTGAGAACGATCAGATGGTATTATACAAGTATTTGCTGTTGTTGGTATTGATGTAGTTAATGATGGACGTCGTGTTGGATCAGTAGATGTAGTTATAATTGATATTGAAGGATTTGTTGTAGTTGTTGTAATATTTGGTGTAATTGATGCACGTACTGTACCAACTGGACGTGGAAGAGCTTGACGTCCTAAATAAATTATCGAAAGAAAAAAAAGTAGATTAGTTTTAATCAAAAAAAAAATCTTACCTTCAAAAAGTAAAACTAGTAGTAGATCAAGAAATCTCATTGTATCAAGTACACATCGTTCATCACCACCACATAATGCTGATTCAAGTGCATCAGGTAGATCAGTACGTAGAAGATCATGTGTTACTTTTGCACTTCCACGACAAAGAGTCGATAATAGACCAGTTACAACTGATAAATTCGTTGTAACACCTCGTGTGTTTAATGATAGATTATGTGTTCCTGCTGTATCTGTTGTTGATGAAGATGAAACTGGTGTTAATGTATTACCATTTGCTTTTGATACATAATGTAATGAACGAAGTAAAACATCTTTTAAACAATAACGCATTAATGGTTCAGGATCCACATTTTTTCTTGCAAATCTATCAGCTAATGTTGCAAAACATCTTAATGCATTATCAGATACAAATGTATCATCATGTAAAAGTAAATTTGATAATGATTTTATTGTTTGATCAAGTGTTGGAGAATTTTGTGGATCAATTTTACCAATTAATTTAACCACAACATTTAATGCTGATTGTAATGAATCTTTATGTATAACTGAATACCAATTATTAATAAAATCAAGTACACAACGTAAACCATCTTGTTCATATATACTTGATGCTTCTCGTGAACATAAACGTTCAAAAACTTTGATAATTTGTTCAGCTAAATCTTTATTTGTACGATCTTCAATATCAACAACTTGTAAACAAGCACACATTGAACGTATAGCTGTTGAATGTTGTGTAATTTTTTTTGCACAATCAACAGATACATCAAGAAAATATGTTAATGCACGTGCTGTAACTTCAAGTACACGAGTGGGAGCTAATGGATCACTGAATATATCACAAAGAGCTTAAATAAAAATACATATTTTAGAGCAAATTTTCAAAAAAAATTATATTTACCAGGAAGGAAAAGTCGAGGTTGATACCTAAAAAAACAAGTACATTGAAAAGAATTATTTTAATTATAAGAAAAACAAAACTTACTGTTCGAAACATCGATCAATATTATCGCACATTAATACAAGCATACCTAAATAAAATCTATATTATTTTAAAGGTTAAAATAAATCTAACTTACAAAGTTGCTCAAGTGCAGATATTTGTAGATCACGTTCGCCACCTCCATCTCCCTTAAGCCATGCTAATAGTTCATCTGGATCAGCTTCCATTCTATTAGTCTACTGTTACTTGTTTAATAAAAAAAGGAAATTACTTTTAACGCATAGACATATATCTAAAATTTATAATGAATAAGCCCATTCTTATATGTATATATATGAAAAAAGTCATTCTACAATAATAAATGTATGTATAAATAAATGTCAACATCTGACAAATAATATATCAAACCCTGAGATTAAAAAAAGAATTGCTTAATGTTTTTTTACAATATCTGGCATTCAAAAAAAAATGGAATGAATGTTTTTAAAAACAATTATTGATCTGAATTTCCTGAGATCGATGTGGACTATAACTACTTGTTGATGAACATCTTGATAATCCTGTTCTCCATAAATATTCTACAGGATCAAAATCATTATTAACATCATAATAACGATATGTATTATTATTATTTAATACAACAGATAATTTTGTTTGATTAAAATTTTGTTTAAAACGATAATAATGAAGTGAAATTTTATCATCATCTATATAAAAATCTTTTAAATCACAACGAATTATATTATAATTAATATCTCCAAGTAAATAATAAAAATCCGGTTGTTTAAATTGAAATTTAATTGTATAATTTATTAATTTATTTGTTAATTGTTGATCATATGAAGAAATAGTTGTATCATTCAATTCTTTAAAACATGTTTGATTAAATTGTTTAATACAAAAAATATTTTCATTTTCATTTTTACTATAAATAAATGTTCGAGAATGTTGTTCAATTATATTATCAATATCAGTTAAATAAATATATTTATCTGATGAACGAAGAAATATTCCGACATTATTAAAATATTTTTGATGTGCAAACTTAAATTCTTGAAAATCAGATGGTTTTTCAAGATAAAGACGTCCAAAATTATCAATGGGTAAACTTGCGATTATATTTATTGATATGGAAATTATAAAAACAATTATAATACCAATTGTTGATGTTGTATTAAAAAATTTGGATAATTTATCTTTACGTTGATAATCATGACGTATTAACCATTTATTTAAAAGTATAGACAAAAATCTTATTAATGCAGCTATTATACCAATAATTGCTTTTGTTAAACTAATATATGTAACTTCACCATCACGACAAATAACAATAAGAAGATTAAGTGTTAATAATGGAACATCTTCAAACCATAATGTTAAACAATTTGTTATTTGACCAAATAATGATGTTAAACGATTTTGATATGCATCGCGAATTACTTGGATTATTTCAAGTAAACTTGTAAATGTTGATATAATACAAAATATGAATATTGCTAGTAGAGTATTACGTGGTGGTGGACCAAATACTAAACCCTAGAGAAGAAGAAGAAGTAAGAAATTAAATAGATGTTTTTTGAACAATATACTTTTTGTATTGTTGCTTTTGACATAAAAAAATACCAATCGACAAGTAGATCAACAATATTAAGGACAAAAACAATTATAAATACAGATATTTTATATGATCGTCGATTAATTAATCGATGGAGCCATGGATGTTCAATATATTGTTGTTCATTATCAGTTGTATTACTCATCGGACGGGTATTTTTCGTCATCTAGAATAAAGAAGATATCGTTTTTTCTTAGGTTAAGGTATAACTAGTAATCAGCTGTTGTCCATCTATCGTCATTCTAGATGATATCAATCCTCTATATGACTTTTAAACAAGATCATGATATATATTGAGATAAGTGACATCTGTAGACAAATAAAAGATTTATTTATGATTAATAATTTGAATCAATATAAAAATAATTATCGCGTATATTTAATAATTCAAGATTATATAAATAATTTTAGTTTTCTTGTTTAATAGTTTTTTGTTAAAAACGATTTCCAAACCATACAAAAAATTCTTGTTTATCGTTCATATGAACAAAATCTAAAGCTGTAGAATCTGTTGATTGTTTTTGAAGCCACTCTAATACAGTAAAATTTCGTGACCATCGAATACGTAAACTACGTAATTGTCTCATGCGTCTTAATATCGAACGAACAGTATTTGGCTTTGCCATTATACCTAATGATAAATGTTCACATTTTGATGATAAAATACGAGCAAGTGAAGAAAGTGCATCTATACTAACATAACCTAGATTTGATTCATTGTAATTATAGTCAGAATCAGTTATAGTTAATGACTTAATTCGTTCTGATAAATATTGACAAACAATTTTATGTTGAAAATCATCTGTGAATTTTTTTAATTTTTCAGTCGAAATGACCAATGATTGAAGATTAGGTGTATGTTCCAGTAATTGTGCAAAATCATTTGATGACATATATGGACCATGTTGAATATCTAAATAATGTAATTCTTTTAATAAATAAAACCAATTTTTTGAAAGTGTAGCATTGACAGTCAGATAAATAATATTCGATGGAAGCAAGTAAATAGGTGGTTCTTCACGTGGTTCATTAAGTATTAATGTATTTATTTTCGTATAATAATTACTTTTAATATCATTAATATCAATAGCAGGTAGTGTAGAAATACTTGTTTTACATGCCGGTGTATCTATTAGTAGTTCTGGAAAAGCGAAAGGTAAAGAATAAAGAAATTCTTTGTAAGAATATTTTGCACCTCGATCACATCGAACAAACCAACGTTTTTCTAATAAATAAAATGGAGTAGAAAATGACTCTATCATTGTATTCAAATCATCTAATGAATTAGAATATCGACTATATGGAAAATAGAATTGAAAAGTTTTTAATAATGGTAACGATGATTTAATTAGTTCTTCCCAAATTTTACCATTTGGCATTGGACTATAAATTGATTTATTAAATAAAGCAAGTATTTTTAAGTTTGACATTTGACGTAGTAGTTTCCGAAAATTTTTTCCATCTGAATATTCATTATAATATATTTTAAGTCGTGTTAACGTTTTTGGAAACACCAATTTATGTTCGTGAGGACAATTTTGTGCAATTGTGTACTCAAAACTCTTTAAAGATGAACAATTCTACAATAAGAAATTTAGTTACAATAATTAAGTTTATATATCACATCTATTTATTCACATACCATTAACCAACTTGTATATTTACATGAAGTAAGAGTCAATCGTTGTAATGTTGGTAAGTTTATTGATTGAATACTAACTCCACAAACGTTCTCAATAGATAGTGAAACAAGATTATTGAATGATGAAATTTTCAATAAGAATTTCTCTGTATCTTTATCTTGTGCATTTAAAATAGTTAATGATTGTAATTGATGAATATAATTAATAGACGGAATTAACTGACAAAATAGTTTTATTTGTCCTGGTGTATCATCATTATTCGAAAGACATAACGATCGCCATTGTTGTATATTATGATGATGTTGAATAACAAAATCAAACTTCTTTTTACTTATAGATTTGAAATTAAAAATATCGACATAATTGTTTATTAAAGATTGAAAACGAAGATTAAGTGATGAAAAAGCATAGACAGTATCGACACCATTTAAATAACTGAAGATTTCAACACAAATTTCATTAGGTAAATATTCAAATGTTGTCGATTCACGTTTAAAACGTTTCGACTTCGACATTGAAAATAATAAATGTAAAATAAACGCAATATAGTCAGTTTATCGACAATGAAAAAATACACGTATATATAACAATTACTTTTCAAATCTCTTCATTTTCCCATTTTGTATTTCGAGCAGTAAACTTATGAATCATTATAACGTGTAGAATACAAAGTCCATTTTTCGAAAAAACGAAAGTATAGAACGAAACTTGGAAATTTCCAAATCATATTAATACTATTTTTCTGTTGAGCATCTTTTTAATTAAACAATAAAATATCGGTAACAAAAATATAATCGATCAGCGTCATGTCATACCAATAATTTTGATCAATATCATCGTTACAAACAAAAAAAACCATCTTGAGGGTGTGGGTGTCAGTAGTGTATTCCTATCCTACACCCACACCCACACCGTCAAGATTTTATAATTCAAGATTATATAAATAATTTTAGTTTTCTTGTTTAATAATGTTTTGTTAAAAATGATTTCCAAACCATATAAAAAATTCTTGTTTATCTTTTATATGAACAAAATCTAAAGCTGTAGAATCTGTTGATTGTTCTTGAAACCAATCTGATACGGTGAATTCTCGTGCCCATTGAATATGTAAACTACGTAATTGTGTCATGCGTTGTAATATTGGACGAACACTATTTGGATTCGCCTTTATAGCTAATGATAAATGTTCACATTTTGATGATAAAATACGAGTAAGCAAAGAAAGTGCACGTATAGTAACATGACCTGAATCTGGTCTACATAAACTATAGTCAGAACTAGTTATAGTTAATGATTTAATTCGTTCTGATAGATATTCACAAGCAATTTTATGTTTTAATTTATTGGTTAGTTTTTCTAATTCTTCAATCGAAATTGTCAATGATTGAAGATTAGGTGTATGTTCAAGTAATTGTACAAAATCATTTGATGACATATTTGCACGGTCTTCAATATGTAAATAACGTAATTCTTTTAATAAATAAAGCCAACTTTTTGAAAGTTTATCATTGAGTGTAAGACAAATGATATTCGATGGAAGCAAGTAAATAGGTGGTTCTTCACGTACTCCATTCACTATTAATGTATTTACTTTTGCATAATGATTATTTTTAATTTGGTTAATATCATCAACAGGTGATGTAGAAATACTTGTTTTATATGCCGATGCATTCATTAGTAGTTGTGTAAAAGCGAAAGGTAAAGAATAAAGAAATCCGTAACAAGTTCTTTCTGGATCTCGATGACATCGAACAAACCAACGTTTTTCTAATAAATAAAATGGTGTAGAAAATGTCTCTATCATTGCATTTAAATCATTTAGTAAAACAGGATATTGTTTAAATGAAAAATAGAATTGAAAAGATTTTAATAATGGCAAACATGATGTAATAAGTACTTCCCAAATTTTACCATTTGGCAATAGATGATAACCTGAATTATCAAATAACGCAAGTATTGTTAAATTTGGCATTTGACGTAATAATCCTCGAATATCTTTTCCATCTGAATATTCATTATAATATATTTTAAGTCGTGTTATTGTTTTTGGAAACACTAGTTTATCTCTGTGTGAACAATTCTTTTTTCTAATTGTATATTCAAGACTCTTTAGAGATGAACAATTCTACAATAAGAAATTTAGTTACAATAATTAAGTTTATATATCAAATATTTATTTATTCACATACCATTAACCAACTTGTATATTTACATGAAGTAAGAGTTAATCGTTGTAATTTTGGCAAGTTAATTGTTTGAATACTAACTCCACAAACGTTCTCAATAGATAGTGAAACAAGATTATTGAATAATGGAACTTGTAATAAAAATCTCTCTGTGTCGGTACGTTGTGTATTCAAAATAGTTAATGATTGTAATTGATGAATATATTTTGTAGATGGAAATAACTGACAAAATAGTTTTATTTGTCCTGGTGTATCATCGTTATTCGAAAGACATAATGATCGCCATCGTTTTATATTACGATGTTGAATAACAAAACAAAATTTCTTTTTACTTACAGATTTAAAATTAAAAATATCGACATAATTGTTTATTAAAGATTGAAAACGGAGCTTAAGTGATGAAAAAGCATAGACAGTATCGACACCATTTAAGTAACCGAAAACTTCAACACAAACTTCATTGGGCAAATATTCAAATGTTATAGATTCACGTTTAAAACGTTTTGACTCCGACATTGCAAAAAATAAATGTAAAATAAATCCAATATAGTTAATTCATCGACAATGAAAAAAATACACACATATGTATAATAGTTACTTATCGAACCTCTTTTTTTCTCTATTTTCTATTTCGAATAGCAAAACTTATGAATCATTATAACGTGTAGAATACAGAATCTACCTGTTTGAAAAAAAGAAAGTACAGAACGAAACTTGGAAATTTCCAAATCATATTGATAGTATTTTTCTGTTGAGCATCTTTTTAATTAAACAACAAAATATTAGTACTAAATATAATCTATCAGCATCACGTCATACCAATAATTTCGATCCATATCATCGTTACAAAAAAAAAAAAGAAAGGTTAGCTATTACGTATTGATGTTTGATCTGACAGTTATACATATCGATCAAACGTCATTATGAATACATTAGAAATACTTTTTTCTTTTTGTTTTATTTTCTTATTTCTATGAGACTTCTATCATAGAAATATATTCATTGGTATTGAATCTCTATTTAAAAAATTTACCTTTATGTTAATACGATCGATTGAATAAATATAATCAATTATGTTGTAATGTATTTAAATTATATCATTTTTAATTTTGTCGAAGTAATTGTTATTCATAGTTCAATTCAATGCTTAAAAATATTCTTTATAAGAAAAAAAAAGAAAATATTTGAATAAGAAGTTACATACTCGTTTGAGTTCATAGAGAAGGCAACTTAATCGAGAAGATATAAGAGTAAGCGAACATATGCAAATTCATACGTTTAATTGAGATTAAAAACGTAGTACGTACCATCGATATATGATGATAAACTAAGAGAGAGAAAAGGAAGAAATGTACATACATATATATATCAAGAATAAAATAGAACAAGTTTGTACTTCACTTAATCTTGATAACTTAAATTACTACAACAAACAATGATTTTAATGATCAAGATATGAAAATAGAAAGAACAAGTGTAGTTACTGTATCCTTATCATTTTTTTAATTATAATAAATTTTTACATCACTTCATATTATAAGAATTTACAATTCTCAATTTCTTTCGATCAATAGTAAAGTTTATATTTATTGTTCTTCAAACTATATCGTCGTCATAGCAATTATATCGAAACATGTAAGTAACGTAATTATCGTATACATTTTAAAAGAAGTAGCATTGAAAATAAATGTTAATAGTTTGCGATCAAATTTTTACATGTAATTGAAAGAAAAAAAAAGCCAGTAATTTATCTATATATATGTACGCTTGATTGAATAATAATATTAGATTTAATCTTATTTATAAATCACGAAGATAAATATTAAAACAAAACAAAAAATGATGATAAACTAAATATCTAATAGAAAAAGTATTTTTGTTAAAAATTTCATTCATATACTTTTCAATTGACATATTCGTATTAATGTCGATTATTAAACCAAAAAGTATATTCATTATTGTTTACATTTATAAAACAATCGAATGTTATATTTTGTGTTTTTAACCATTCTTTGTTAATTTTTAAATCATCATGTTCTTTCAAATAAACTTTTAAACTATGTAAATGTTTCATAGTTCGAAGTATCAAACCAGCGACAACATTTCGGTTATATACAGATACTGTTAGATGTTGACATCGTTTACCAAAAACACGAACAATAGAAAGAACTTCATAGACATTAACATAATTTTGAGTATGAGGTGATAAATATTCATCGAAACATAAATTTAATGATAGAATCTTGCACGATAATAGACGACAAATTACTTTATTCTGCCAATCAGTTGTTAAATAATTTAGTGTATGATACGATGCGTTCAATGATTGTAGATACGGTGTATTTTTTAGTAAACAAGCAAATTCTTTCGATGACATATCTATTTGACTACCTAATGATAATTGACGTATTTGAGTCATTGAAAATATCCATTTATTAAGTGAATCAGAATATTTTAAAACTAAATGTTGAATATTTCCATTTAATAAATTTTCATTAAGATTTTCACAATTTACATTGACTATTAATGTATTGACATTAGCGTATAGATTTATATTCTTTTTATAATCATCATTTACCGTTGAAATACTTTGATCAAATGAATGTGTAACAATTTCAAAACGTTCAAAAGCAAATGGTAATGAATAAAGAAGAGCAACACTAAATTGTTGATGATGAGAATCACATTGAATAAACCATCGTTTTTCTTTCAAATAAAATGGTGTTGAAAATGTTGATACAATTCGATTCATGTCTCCAATAAAACTAGAATCTTTCCAAAATTTAAAACAAAATTGAAATTCATTTAAACATGTTAATGATGACGTAATAAGTTTTTCCCATTTTTGACCATCTGGTGGTAGACTAGAACATATATTATCATCCAACGTAAGACTTTCTAATTGTGATAAATGACAAAGTGAAGCATAGACAATTTCGCCATCACCTTGTTGTGTATAGGAGACTTTTAATTGTTTCAATGATATTGGCCATATTAAATTATGATCATGTATACAATCATATTCAATCGTATGTTCAAGTTTTTCGAGTTGATTGAAATTCTATAAGATAAAATTTACTTGAAAAATTATAATTCTTATATATATAAATATCTTACCTTCATCCATTTCGTTATTTTACATGAAGTAAGAACAAGATATTTAAGTGATGGTAATTCTAATGATGATATAGTTTTACCACATATATTTCCAATTGTTAATGATACTAAATATGTAAATGTTTTAAGTTGTGGTATTAATTCTTGCGCATCAATGGGTTTCATATTCGTAAGAGATAAATTTTTTAATTGAGGTAAACATGTCTTAAATGGGGATTGTCGAAAAAAGTATATTATTTGTCCAGGTGTTTCAGTTTCATTTGAAAGACGTAAATATCGCCATCGTTCTGGTTGATGTTGTCGAATAATACATTTGAATTTTGTTGAATTTATTGATTTAAAATCAAATGTATGACAATGGTTAAGAATTAAATTTTGAAAACGATTATTGAGTTGTGAAAATGCATATACAATATCTACATGAAGTAGATAACTAAATATTTCAATATGAATCTCATTAGGTAATCGTTCAAATATCGTTGGTTGATGTTTAAAACGTTTTTGTAATAAATCTCTATGAGTATTTGTCACAGAAAGTGTAGTATGCTGTCGTTTGCTCGCCATTAAACCATATGAATAGACGGTTACTGCTGTTGTTTTAGTGCAACCACGTGACTTTATAAAATTCCGAGAAATTATTCATGATTCATCGTATATACAGAACTGAGAGAAAGAAAAAGGTATATTTTAAAAGTGCGACTGATGTTTGGTATATGCGCAATTTATTCAAATAAATCAGTCGGCGAAAAAATAGAATAATAGTTGTTATTTCTTTTTTTCTGGTTTATAAACGAATAACAGACTCTAGATAGATTACAAAAATAAAGCACATACTTACAATTCATTTAAAGATTTATACTCATTTGATTATTGTATGAGAATTGAATTGATATGTGACTAACGAATAAATAAATGATTATCTTCAATCTTCCAGTTTTTTCTTTTCTTTTGTCTGATTATTTCTTAGATACAGACAACCTTCAATTGAATTCATTCATTGGCAACATTAGTTAGATTTATTAACATATATCTTAGCTGAAGAGTACTCAAACTTATTTGATTTACAAAGAAAATATATATATGTAAATAAATGTATGAATAAATAAAACTAAGACATTACTAATTGAACACAAAAAGGATCTTTTTATGATAGGAAAGTTTCTTTTTAATTGAATTCAATCATCATAACAATAAACAAGTAAAATACTATTGAATATACTTAGAAAAAAAATGTCAATAGCAGACGTAATACTTCACAAGATTATTATTGCTATTATTTACTGTCCTTGATCAGTCGTCTGAAGGTCTTGTAGATGAAATAAAAATGTATGACATTGTAGACAATATGGTGCAAGTAAATGCAAAGAACAATTTTATTATTTCAATGAGAATTGTTTCATTTATTTTCTTTTCATATACATGAGAATTTTATAATCTTATATGAAGGTCAAACTAGTTGTTAGATGGTATTTAAAAATGAACATATTTTTCTTTCTAAAGATATCAATTTGAATATGAATAAAGTATTGAGTTGAGCAGAAATCATTGTATATCAATAGATCTTTCGATAGAAAATATTAACAAAATAATTCATTACGGTTTTTTTTTAATTTTATTTTGCTTTTTTTTCTTCTTGTTTTCAGCTCAAAAAAGATTGTTTAACAGTGATGAATAATTAACAATAAAAAATGAGCTGATATCGATATTGTGTGCATATGCCGATGACAAGTGTACAGAGTAGGAGAAATGCTCGAATTTCAGAAAAATAAAAGGGAACACGAACAGAAAAATAACTTTTATATATATATAAAATAAAAACGTTGACAAGATCTTCACCAGAGTAACTTTTCTATAAAAGCTGTTCAGATATATATAACTGTTCGCGAAAAAAATAACAAAATATGGATATTCTTGAATTTATAACTTGTCATAAAAATCATCAAGTGATGGGATACCTTCTTTCAAACCTTTGCGTTTACGAATATCATTAACAATTTGACGAATCTTGGATGAATCATCAAATGGATCTTGATTCATAACTTGCCAATGATCAAAGACACATTGTGGAAAAGCTTGACCACCTGTATTTGAACGGAGATCAGCAGTGAAACCTAATAATTAGAAATAATGTTTTTTTTTATTATTTTTCATTAATATATTATATTATAAAGCTTACCGAAGGATTCATTGACAGGTAAATAAGCTTTAACAATGAACATAGGTGTTCCAGTTACTTGATGTTCATCAAAAACGTGACCACGACGACGATTCAATACACCATAAATACCACCAACAGCAACTTCAGGGCACTAGAAAAGAAAAAATTCTATTAACTAAAAATATTTTATTTCGATAACGTACTTGAACTTCACAGAGATAGACTGGTTCATAGAGACGTGGTTTAGCTGTAAGCATACCAGCATAAAGAACACGACGAGCAGTTGGAATAATTTGACCACCACCACGATGGATAGCATCAGCGTGTAATGTAACATCATGAATATCAAAACGAACACCACGAACATTTTCTTCACAAAGGACACCTTCTTTGGTAGCCCATTGAAAACCAGCAATACAACTGTCTTTAATTTCATTCAAATATTGAACACCTTTAGTACAATCCATAAGAAGATTTGGGCCAGTTCCTTCAGGTCCAAAACACCAGATTTTACGGGCTTCATTTACATCATAGTCATATTTTTCATTCAAATAACGAGCACGTGCTTTAAATTCTTGACGTGGTGTAACTTCACCTTTATCGATATCTTCGGCTAAACCATCTGGCATTGGTCGAGCTTTCAAGAAAATACGATTATGTTTGTTTGGTGATTTTGATAAACACATAATGTCAGATTCTTCAGATACAGTTTCACGATATGATACGACTGGATCAGAAACCTTGATTGGGATACAAGCATGATCTTCTTCAAGATCTTTTAAGCAAATTTCCAAATGTAATTCACCGGCACCAGCAACAATATGTTCACCAGATTCTTCAATGATACACTATACAGAGAAGAAATTTTTTTATATAAATCTCTGATTTAATCGAAATTCTAAACTTACTTGAACCATAGGATCTGATTTAGCTAAACGTTTTAAACCTTCGACTAATTTTGGTAAATCAGCTGGATTTTTTGGTTCAACAGCAACACGTACGACTGGACTGACACTGAATTTCATGACCTAAAAATATTTCAAAATACATATATTAATCTACGAAATGTTTAATTGAATTTAAAAAAAAACTTACACGAAGATTGTGTGCATTTTCAAAGGTTGTAATTGTACCAGTTTTAATCAAATATTGATCAACACCAACGAGACCACAGATGTTACCGCATGGTACATCTTCAATTGGTTCAGTATAACGACCCATCATAAGAATGGTTCTAAACAAAATAAGAATAAAAACCATGAATATTAA